GGAGGAGAGAGAGAGAGAGAGAGAGAGAAAATCGTGTTTCGTTTTTTTCTTCTTTTTTTTTTTTTAAGAGGAAAAAAAGGGGTGGAGATTAAAATTTACATTATTCGCCTCCGCGGCACCTGGACCCTCTAATGGACGACACTTTCGCTGGTATTTTCCACGAAAAATTTCGATCTGTCCCGTGGGAGAATGGGGATAAACAATGGCCGCACGAGAGACAACGGTTCTCCGGAGAAGCGAGGAAGAAAAAGGGGGGAGGGGGAAAGGGTAGGTAGAATTTTTGTATACGTTTTTGGTGAAAAAGTTAAAATGGATACTCACGAGTTTGGCGGTTTGAGCTGACAGCATGTCGGCGTATTGTATTAGTGCCTGGAAAGTATCTGAAACAAAGGGGGAAAAAAATGGTTAGATTGGATTGGTGGAGAATTTTTGGGCGAGTAACAATAAAAGGAAAATAGAAAAGAGAGAAAAAAAGAGTTTTGTCGCTGTACAAGTAATTTTATTAATTATTTTTTTACGAAAAATAAGAAAATTTCATTTCATTTGCAAAAGATCTTGCAAAAGAATTTTAATTCCGAGCTCATCTTCCAAATCGTTCGAATCATTTCAAGCACTAGTTGCTTGAAACAGAAAAAAATTTAATTTCTCTTAACCTCTTTGAGTGAGGAGTAAGATTAAATTAAAAAAGTTTCTTCTTAAAAAAGAAAAAGTTCCTTAAGAAATCTGTTTATGGAGAAACAAAACCCATCTACCTATGAAAACGAATCCCGGCAATATTCAATGTACAAATGAAAATAATGAAAAGAATATACGAAACCAGGGATTATCGTTCGATATTCGAAAAGCAAATGCCATTCTCACGGTGGTTTGCATCGGTGAAAATTAAATAAAAGCCGAAATTAAATGGAAATAAAGGGGGATCGCTCTGGATTCACGGTAATATGTTGTGACAACGGTCACATTTTTCCCTCTATGGAACAGAATTTTTATTATCCCCCCGATCCCACTCCCCGTCCACGATCAAATAACGATGGAAATTGAATAACGTTGCTACCGGCAAAAAATTCGATCTCGTTGTTGCATTATATAGCTAATAAAACGTTTTTTCATGCATTTTTCTGCTTTTTTCATTTTTTTCTTTTTTTTTTCTTTTCTTTTTTTTTTTTTTACCGAAAGATCCGATCAACATCGACAGTTTTCTGTCATTTTCTTTTATATATATATATATATATATTTTTCTTTTTTTCACTGTTATTTTATAATACTGATAAATAAAATGATATCGATTCTAAATAAAAATTTCGGTACGTTTATGTGATTACATTAAGAATATCGAACACAATACACATTCTATATTAGAACACAATTTCAATGATGCATCATCCTGTATTAAATTCACATAATTTCTAAGATGTTTTACACTATTGATTTGTACAATTTTTCTATGCTAAATTTACATTTCGATAATGCACTATTCTATATTAGATTTATATAATTTTCATGATGCATTGTTTATACAAATTCGACAACGAAAATGTACATTTTGCATCCTATACCCTCGATTCAAACAGATTCTGCAACGTGCTCTGTGGATTCCACTAGATTTAGTTCATTCGAATAGTACACAGCTTTTAATCCAATACTATAATTTTCAACAAAAATTCTCAATAATAATGAATTCTCGATAAACGTCGAACATATTTAAAATTCTAATTTCCTTTAACAGATATCTATAGAATTACAAATAAATCTTCGTTTGTATAAATAAGGAATTAAAAGAATCATTCAAGAAACGTATTTCAAATGAAATGGAAAAAAAATAGATATCGTCTTCACTCGTAATTGTGCATATGTTTTTAATTCCAAACTGTTGAGAAATGCCAAGTTATTATCTTACTTAATAATGTGCCACTTTTCTTCTTTATCTTCTCTCTTCTTTGTTCTTTAAAGATTTCGTTCGATGTGAAAATGTGATCAGGATTGTGGAATTTGGACTTTTTAATATGGATTTTTCATTTGTACCGATTTTCCCGGGAAAATGAAATTTTCAAATACCTAATTTACAAAGTTACAATTGGATAAGTTCCCCCCTCGTAAATTTTGAATTGACAAATGTTCATTCGAAGTTTTGATTAAGGAAATATTTTCATTACGATATTTCGCGAGCGATGAATTTTCAATTTTTAAACTTCCAATTTCGAAATTTTCTCCATTCACTTTCTAAAGTTTTAGAACTTTTATACATCTCTAAACTTCTCTGTTTTCACTTTGTATTTAATTTCTAAATTTGAATTTTGATTTGTGAAAAAATAGAGATGCAAATATTCGAAGAAGAAAAAAAAATGTTTTCAATTCTACGTTCTTTTGAAAATTATATTATCGTATTCCTTTAACGTTGACGTACAAAATATTTGTTCCAACACGTCATAATCGTAAAAATCGATCCATCTTACGAATCGATGATATATTTATACATATTTTTCTTCGTTCGAATTTCAACGAATAAATACCATCAAATTGTACAAAGTAACGAACATAAAGAAGGAAACCACAAAAAAGGGGAAAAAAGGAAGAAACAAAGAGCCTAATCAAAGAAACAAAAACTAAAAAAAAAAAAAAAGAAAATCAAAAAAAGAGGCATGGAAATTGAACGAACGAATAGCCACTTGACCGAATGAAACTTTAATTGGACACTGAATGCTTCTTCGCTTTAATTTAGGCCTCCGTGATTTCGCCAATCAACCGCTATTTGTCTCAAAGCCGTCCTCTTTGAAAATTTCTCGTCCCTTTCAATCAAGAACAACAGCCTCTTTTGTTCGATCGAGCGTCCATTGATTGAACGTCTTTTGGATAACCAATTGTCGCCAAGAACGACGATATCGATATTGTTTTTTAACAGCCGGGGATATTTCTTCCCATTTTCTTGCTTCTCATCGAACGTAATTGGTAATCGGATAATTTGTTCCTCCTCTTGTCTCTTCACAACGTATATAGATTAGACCGAGATTGGAGCAAGACTGATTTAAATTGTTATTTCGATATCGAGATTTTATTACTTCGCTTTATTTGTTGGACTGGAATTAACGAACGGGAGAGCATAATAATAATACAAGTTTGAGAGAAAATATGACGAAGATTTTGCAACAGATCTAAGTTATATCGTGAAAGATTTTTAAGGAAAGAATTTTAAATTCTTTCTACAAAAGTAATTGATAAAGAAAGGAAATTTTATTGGATTCCGTATAGATGGAAAAGAGAGAGAGAAAATAAATAATTGATCGATATTGATCATATTGACGTTTCAAAAGTATGACACGAGGTCCATTTTGTTATTGCAACCTCGAACGAACATCTCGAAAGTAAAAAAAGGAAAAGTTGCCACGACACAAAATAAAATATTCGAGAATTTTACCACCGGTCTGAACCGGTGAATTTCTAACTGGTATTTTTTTTACCCGGAATGAAGCAGGCTTTTATCTAACTGGTGTCTAAAAAAAAAAAAAAAAAAAAGAATTTGCGTATCGATTTCGAAATTTATTCTTCGTCTGCAAATGCAAAAAAAAGAAAAGAAAACAAAAAAAAAAACAAAAAGATTCGAGACTAAAAAATATTTAAGAAATGAAAAATTTAATAAGTCGAACTCTCTGATCGAAGAACAGAGATCGAATATCTGCTCGCATTCTACATTCGCGTCGTATCAAGAAACATCAAGGCTTTCCAAGGATTAGACGAGAACGATCGAATTTCAATTTCCTCCTTTGCCGAGGATAAATGTACAAAGGAATTAAGGGAATAAGTACATATTTCTGACGCACCCGGTATACTCGAGTGCTACCGAAGGTACTAACGGTGTCGACGTCGTCGAGGCAGAATACACTTCAAGTGTACACTGAAGTACTAAAGTGCCGTGCATGTCTGCCAGCAAGAGTGGCGTCTATACAAGGTGGCCCAGTAGCTATTGCACTGGAGGAGGAAAACAAGAGCCACTTTGAAATGTTCGAAATCCGTCAGTCTTTCTCGGTTCTACTCTGTTTCTTTCGAGGTGTACGTGGAAATTTTTCAATGGGAAACTCGTTCTGGAAATAGTTCTGCGCGAATTTTGATTGAAAAAAAGAAAAAGGAAAAAGCTTATCCGAATTAAACAAATTATTTTCTCTAGTAATTTTTATAAAAATTGCAAGAAATGCTTCGATCAATCGTTCGTGAAAGAAATGATTCGAATACAATGTCATTCGAATTTCACATTTTTTTTTTTTTTAAAACGTTCATAATTTTAAAATTCGATAAAACGGTACTTACTGTTCTTCGTGAAAGTGACGATTTTCAGCACCTTGCCAAAACGTGTGAATATCTGCAACAGAAAACGAGAAAAACCAAAAATTAGAATTGGCAAGGACTGCGCTCGACTGTGTTCGAGCGATCGAATGTGGCGTACCATCGACCATTGTTGTTAGAACAACAATAACGGCCAACACACAAATTGGCCATCTTCCTGCATTTCTCTTGTCACAATCTCTACAACAACAAGAAGGGGGCAGGCAACCAACCCTCGGAAGGAGCAAGCCCGCATGATCGTTCGAAATTGGTACTTGGTACAGGTGATTCCAAGGCTGCGTGCCCAGGCAAATATTGGCCTTTGCTATTATTAATTCGATCGTCTGGCCCACTCAATCGGCTATATGTATGATAATGACGGCGATTCGAGGCCGATGATTATCAACCCGTGGCGTACATGCAACGTAAGCAACGAATTTTCGAGCACGTCGTTGCTACGATAAGCCTTTTAGGATCTGCTCGATTATCCTTGTACCGATTCGAGATATGTATATGTACAAGGATAAGAAGTCGAATAATAGTGGAAAAGGAAATTAAATTCGTTTTTTTTTTTTTGACAAGAGGATTCTTTAAAAATATAAAAATTCCTTCTCTGAGAAAATTTTTTATCGTTCCTATACATAACAATTCAAATTATTCTTACTTTTCTATCATTTTCAACATTTCGAAACAGAAATCTTTTAAATCGACTCGATTTTCCACAATTTCTGTTCCTTTCAAATCTTCTTTTAAATCTTCTTTTAAAAATTCTTTACGCTTTCAATAATCAATAATCAAACTCGATGGGCACGGATACGATCTCCTCTACCTGCGAGACGAGATATTTTCTTCCTTTTCTTCCACTTATCACGCGCATCGTCGACGACGATACAAAGCACGCAGGATTGCTACTCTCGTCAGAGAGTAGAGATGCGTTTAATCGAGCGCGATAACGGTGCAGTTATTATCCCTGAGACAGAGATTAAAATTTTAATTGCAGCCACGAAGCCGGGCCCTCGTGTCGCCCTCTGACTACTGTGTCCCACTTTTTTCGCCACCACTTCTCGGCTGGTTTGGATGGATGGACGGATAAAAATACGGCCGATCCTTTTGTTGTTTACGAGAAAAACTAATTACCCGAGCTTAGAGCATTTAAACGAGAACGTGCAGCTCTTCAAAGAGGACTCGGTTCCTCGCCAACTTTCTTCTTCACGTGACGTATCAACTGCAGTGAGGTATTTAATGCGATAAGTTTGACGAGCAAAAAGGGATTCCAACGGAGGAATAAATTTCGACGGATTTCTTTTCTCGCGCCTCTTTCACGAAAATATCGATAATACCGATCGTGGAATAAAAAAATTGCACTCTAATATCCGTGTTTCTTCTATTTAATCAACGTAAACATAACCAACACTTTTTAATCGGTCCATCAGTTTGATCGAAAGGATTAGGCAAGGGATTAAGCAGTCGCTAATTAAAGTATTATTCAATTAGACGGATATCGCAGCAAAATGTCAAAATATGTAAATACAATTATCGTTACGAAAGAAGAGTAAAAACGTTAAGAGGGGAACACGATCGATTCCAACGTGATTATTCTCGAAAAATATCGAGCACGAAAAAAAAAAAAAAAGAAATGAAAGCCGTGAGAGATGAAAGTGACTGTATTAAATTAACGCTAATAAAAAAAAAAAAAAAAGAAAAAAGAAAAAAGAATGAAGCGAAAAACGTTATATAGTTGATTTAAAAGAGTAGATCATAGATCAATGTAAATACTTCTGCCTGAATGCTCACCCGTCCCAACCCTTTCTCCTCCTCCTCCTCCTCCTTCTTCCCCTCCCCATTTTCATCCATCATCCTCTTTATTTTTCAACGCGTCGGATTTATCGTAACGCCGGGGGAAAAAATATAAATTCTTCATTCGAGCCGTCACAACTCGGCTCGATATTGAATATTCGATGAGAGAGTTAAAACGCGTGACACTGCCTGCATTAGCTGCTCCCCCCTTTTACGAATACAACCAATCCCGCCTCCTCACGTCACGATTCCATTCACATTTGCAGATATTTCTCGCGTCGTCCCGCCACCGCCGCCGCCGCCATGCATTTTTATGAGATTTCAGTTATTTACCGACGGAATTATCAGCGTTTCGACAAGGAAATAATATAATAGTTGGTTAACGACCACTAACTATTCCTGTTTTGATGATTTTCTCTCGCCACTTTTTTGCGAAGAAAGCGCGTGACGGTGGTTTGGATGGAAGGTAGGGGCAAATAAGGTTAGCTCTTTCTATTTTTTTTTTTTTTTCTTTAAATAAATTGTCGTCTATCCGATTGTACGTAGATACGAAATATTTGCGAGCATATGAAATGATTAATAGCGATAGTAGCGTAGAAGATTTTGAAAGATTTTCATTACTATCGTTGTTCATTCGTTCGAAGAAATATACAATCGTAAATTTTTCTGTAAGATAAATTCATTATTATAAATTATGCAAAAAAAAAAAAAAAATTTGAATAGGTGAAAGCAATCGTGACGTTAAAGATTAGAAAAATTTAATCAATTTGATTTTTTGAAATATACAGTTTTAAGGTGAAAAAAAAAAAAAAAGGGTGGAGGGGAAAAAAAATCATACACCAAATTCTCGCGGATAAAGATTCCTTTTCTTTCCATTTCATATGAAATTCTAATTCATACGTTCGAATGTTGCCACCTGGATACTGGTTTTTTATAAAATTTAAGTTTTAATGATGTAAACGTAACGATGCGTTTCAGTGAAAATTTTTTTTAACGAGCCACTCATTTCCCCTCATATCGGATAAATCATGACCAATTAGCGTACTGAAAAAGAAAACGAGGAAAAAAATATTACTTTACTACGTACATTCCGCGTATTAAAATAGTTGGCGCGGTAAAGTTGTTATCTATTCGTTCGATATTCGATAAAAATAATTAGAGGATCAATTATATATATATTAAAAAAAAAAAAAAAATAAATACACTCAGATCACCATTAATCCGATAATATAATGAAAAAAAGTGTTTTATCCAATTTCAAATCTGATATATATTATTCGAATGTGAAAAAATTTTATATTATATCAATTTACGGTTAATTAACGAGAATTTATTTATTTTTCAAAAGCGTGTCGCACTTTTTTTCCTTCTTTTTTTTTTTTTTTAAGTATTTAAACAGCTTTCAAACGCAGTAACTCATTCAATAAAAAAATACTTTCGAGACTCAAAGGATTAATTTTTCTTCCATCATAAATTTACAAAATCAAAGGATAAATAAATAAATAAAACAAAAGCGACTGAAAGCTTCTCGAAAAAGCATTAAGCACATAAAATCAATAGGATCTCTGTGGAACCATTTGAGCGCTAATTATTTAAGCTCGACTCTTATTTCCCCGCAAACGAACCACAGTGAGAGCTCTCTCTCTCTCTC